TAATTCCTGTGATTTGTGCACAGAAATATACTGAATCTTTGTGCCGTATACCTGAATGTGACTGTGTGCATGAGCCCATACAATGGTCAACATCATAAAAAAGGATAATGTGGATTTGTATATAATGTTTACAAACTATAGCTAAAGTATACAGTATGTGAACCCTTGTAAAACAACCCATTCAGAAATATAGGGGAAAAGTGCATATTAAATAGCTTTTTTTACTTTTTTTTTCTTTCTTTTTTTTAATCACATAACCTCTGTTATTAGCTCCATATGGGCCTTAGAGACCCAAGGCTGCTTTCACACTGATCCATTGTTCTTCTGTTTTTTTTGTTAAAAAAAAAAAGCTGAAATAAAAAGCATGACCATTAAATTCTATGGAACTCTTCACAGTGGTCAGTTACAGTTAGTATGGCTGAAAAAAGACAAAAGTCCATCCAGTTCAACCAAAAAAAAAAAGTTCTAATCCTACACCTATAGTTGATCCAGAGGAAGGCAAAAAAAAATCCAGCAAAGCATGATCCAATTTGCTACTGCAGGGGAACAAATTCCTTCCTGATCCCCAGAGAGGCAATCGGATATTCCCTGGATCAACTTTACCTATAAATGTCAGTATCCAGTTATATTTTGTGTATCTAAGAAAGAGTCCAGGCCTTTTTTTTTAAAGTAGTCCACTAAGCTGGCCAGAACCAATTCTTGAGCGAGTCTATTCCACATTTTCACAGCTCTCACTGTGAAGAAACCTTTCCGTATTTGGAGATTAAATTTCTTTTCCTCCAGACGTAAAGAGTGCCCCTTGTCCTCTGTGATGACCTCAGTGTGAATAGCTCTACACCAAGTTCACTATATGAACCACTGATTATATTTATACATGTTGATCATATCCCCCCTTAATCTCCTCTTCTCAAGAGAGAATAAATTCAGTTCCTCTAATTTTTTCTCATAGCTGAGCTCCTCCATGCCTCTTATCAGTTTAGTTGCCCTTCTCTGTACTTCCTCCAGTTCCCCAATGTTCTTTTTGTGAATTGGTGCCCAAAAACTGAACTACATATTCCATATGAGGTGTTACTAATGATTTGTACAGGGGTAAAATGATATATCTCTCTCTGGAGTCTATACTCTTTTAATACAAGAGAGGATTTTGTTCACTTTAGAAACCACAGCTTGGCATTGCATGCCATTATTAAGCTTAGTTGCGGGTTTCAAAGTCCTACTTGCTGCATTTTTTGGTGCATGTTTGGTGATGTTAAACAAAACTGCACCAAAAAGCACCTCCCCATTGAAATGAATATAAAGCACATGAAGAATGCATAAAAAATACACCAAAAATGCATCCACGGATGTATGCTTTTTTACATCGTTTTTTGCAGCTGAGCAGTATGAAAGTTACCTAACACCCCGGTCACATCAAACCCTTACAGTGAAGTTGCATGATTTCAAAGTCGGGTGACATGCCGATTTCAGGTGCAATTTGCAAGACATCTGACACAGAAAAAGGAGTGCATGCACTACTTTAGAAATCGGTGCAGCTCTAACCAAGTCAGAACCGATATAACTGCTGTAATTGCGGACAATAGGGTGCGACTTGGCATGCGATTTGCAAGTTGCATGGCATGTAAATCGCATGCCAATTTGCATCCAGTGTGACCGGGGTGTAAGGGTAGAGACTGCAGGGGGTTGTGTCAGCAGAAGGCAGAGAAACCACAATGCACTAATCTTCCCACTGAAGAGCTGTACAGGGGGTTGTGTCAGCACAAGTCTTGGCCTTTGGAGAACAGGCAGACTGTGCTCCCAGCATAGCCAGAAAAAATGTGCTTCCATGCCTAGTATGGTCAGTTTGAAATAGACAAGCAGGGGGAGGGCAGGAACACTGGGTACTTTATACAAAGGAATCAATAAAAAAAGAACACAGATACTTTTTCATACAAGTAAATGGTAAAACAGACACATATCAGGAATATGAAATGGTGGTGTAATATCCACTTTAAATCTGCATTTATTGATACTGCTCTATATAGAATATGTAGCCCACCTCTATATTAGGCTGTATCTGTACTGTATACTAGAGGTTTGGATGCACAGATGGCTAAGGGGCACGAAGGGCTTATCTGCATACTTTCACCCACAATCCTAAAATGGGGCATAAACCTCAAATATTTGGATTTATGATGGAAATATGATTCAAATACTCTTCTTTGGGCTGTACAAAGATACAGTTACTGAGATACCATAGAGCAGCTGAGGGATTTGGGTTCGCATAATGGACTGTCCCTCCAGAAGAGGAACATTTAGAAGCTGGGTGGTGGGCTGGCAGAGTAGCTGCAAAGGAAAGATGAGCCATTGTAGATGAGCAAACTGCAAACTGATCCAAGTGGGCCCATCTCTGTCTAGACTAGGGCATATTTGCCTATAGCGGATAGATATGTTACTTGACCAAGTCCTCTTCTTTTTTTTCATTTAAAGAAACACACTATGCATGCACAGGCTGGCATCCCAAAATGCAATAGGGCTGTGAATATTAAAGGAATCCCTGTTATGTTGATAGAAACCCATATACTACTCAGAACCCAAGAGGTGGAAGAGGGGGAAAAAACTCACAGGTGAAGGAATTGCAGGAAGTTTGGCACTTAACCCTGCATACCTGCGACCATATGGCTGTGGGTATAACTGTCCATATACATTGGGGCATATTTATAAAGCATTGAATGTGACACTTGGGAAACATTCTCTGAATGTGAATCTTTCAGATGTATTATTTTTTTTTTTTTTACAGTAATTTATTCGCCACCAGAGAATGATCATTTGGTGAAAGTCACATTCACTAAATCGTAGTGCTTTTGTAAAAACAGAAAAAAAAAAACCAATAGATCAGCAGATCTGAAACAGACAACAGTGGATTTTTAAGCCATGTTAATTTTCTACAATTTCAACCTTTATACAGTCTGTAAAAATTATAAATTACATTTATCTGAAATCAAGAAACTTTGACCCAGCCAAAAGAAATTTAGTGGCCTGTGAACTGATCAAAACCTTGATGGATTATTGTATGAGTTGTTAGGCATTACAATCCCAGATGGAATTTGCAGTAGTTAATAGGCTTGAAGTGGGCAGAGTATGAAAATTGGTGAAGAATGAATTTGACTGTGGGGAAGTTTAATATTTTACAAAACAAAAAAAAAAACTTGTGGTTAGATTCACATCTGCTTTTTCTATACAGTCCCACCCTGGACCAGGTGTTCTTTAACTACGGGTGGAAGGAAAGAAAAGTGCTCAGTTCCCCCATCAACTCATTCAATTGCTGATGGGAGAATCACTACTGCAACACTATTGTGTTCCCTTCCCTGCCAGCAGGACACAATGGTCACTGCTAGCTGCTAAAGCTGCTGGTAGTAATCACATGCATAAAATTCGACAGGCTGGTTGTACTGAAGATCGATGAATTGACTTCAATACAACCAGCCTGCCCATTAAGCCCTGGATCACACTGATGCAGTGCGGAATTTTCAGCATTTTCTGTGCAAATTCTGCACCGCATCAGAATTGCACCCCATTTATGCAAACCGCTGCGGGTGTGTATGTTAAGTTAACAACACCCCGAAAGTGGTCTGCAAAACGCAGTGCGATGTGCAGAATCGGATCGCATCGGTGTGCACAGCAGAGAAATACACAGCAGCATGTTTCCCTAGTAAGACACACACAACACATGATGTAAAACAGCACACAGTTAACCCTTTGATTGCCCCAGATGTTAACCCCTACCTGCCCAGTGTCATTAGTACAGTGGCAATACTTTTTATTAGCACTGATCACTGTATTAGTGTCATTGGGATGTCAATGGCAGTTAGTTCCCACCCAGTGTCAGAATGCCCGCCGCAGTTCCACTATAAATCGCTGATCGCTGCCATTACTAGTATAAAAAAAATTCAATTATATATACCGCCATTTGTAGATGCTATAACTTTCACATAAACAAATTAATTTACACATATTGGGATTTTTTTTTTAGCAAAGTCATGTAGCAGAATACATTTTGGCCTAAATTTATGATGAAATTTCATTTTAAATTTTTTTTATTGGAAATGTTTAATAGCAAAAAGTCAAAAATATTGTTTTGTTTTCAAAATTGTTGTTTTTTTTTTTTTTTGTTTATAGCACAAAAAATGCAGATGTGATCAAATACCATTGACAGAAAGCTCTATTTGTGGGGAACAAATTACATAAATTTCATTTATGTACAGTGTTGCATGACCACACAATTGTCAGTTAAAGTAACTTAGCGCCGTATCGCAAAAAATGGCCTGGTCAGGAGGGGGGGGGGGGGGGTAAGTCTTCTGGAGGGCAAGTGGATTAAGGTTTGAACACACTACACAGACACAGCTGTTTAGCCATTTGTGTACCATCTTTATAAGTAAAACCAAATTTTGTTACAAGAAACGTCTCTCCCTCACACTTTTGTTACATTTTTCATTCGTTGATGAAGATTGGAAGTCATTTTCTTTTAGTTTTCATCACTGAAAACATGCATCTGATGAAAATTATGACGTAAATATTTCCTCTAAATTATCACTGCTTTTGTAGCACCCATACACAAAGCAAAACAATACATAATTTAAAGGAAACTGCATGACATTCAGACCATGATTTGAGTAAAATGTTGGAACACGATAACCACAGAGTTAAGGATCTTGACCAGCATTATGCAGCTATTTGACCAATCTACTGTTCTCTGCTGGTTAAGCAAAGATAATCTAACTTTTTATGTGGCGTTCCCCAAATATACACTATCCAATGGCTGTATATATAGAGTGTAAATATAGGGAGGATATCCCTTTCATATTTGCCATTTTCACTCGTAAACACTTACTGGATTTAAAAAAAAACAGCATGTACACAGGGCAGCAAATCAGTTTTATTCACTACTATGGGACAGGATAATTTATATCTTGTATGACTTCCTTTTTATTTGTTAATAATGACATTTTCTTCTTTTTCTAGGAATGTTCACCCTTTCAGAAGTTGCCTCACTTAATGACATCCAGCCCACTTATCGGATTTTAAAGCCATGGTGGGACGTTTTCATGGATTACTTGGCAATTGTTATGTTGATGGTTGCAATCTTTGCAGGGACCATGCAGCTGACCAAAGATCAAGTTGTTTGCTTACCAAAGTTAGATTCAGCTGTATGTTCAGCTTCTCAAACTAGCAAAACAGTACAAGTTTCTCCTATGTTTGAAGAAACTACAGAAGGACCTGATACAAAATGGCAAAGTGCATTGCCTAAAGTTGAGTCAGAAACACCTTTGACAAGACAAACTGATACTTTGGTCGCTCCACCTCAGTCTTCTGTTGAGAGCATTAACAAGGAAGCAAGGAATCCAGGGGGGAGAAAAAACAAATCTGGATTACCAACAATATATATTTATTAACCAAATGTGCTATCATGTGGCTCTCCCATGGTACTCAAAGTACTTTCCTTATCTTGCACTTATACATACAATTATTCTAATGGTCAGTAGCAATTTCTGGTTTAAATATCCAAAGACCTGTTCAAAAATTGAGCATTTTGTCTCCATACTGGGCAAATGCTTTGAATCCCCATGGACAACAAAAGCTTTATCTGAGACAGCATGTGAGATTCAGAAGAAAATAAGCACAGACTTACTGGTGCTCATTCCCTCCGGAAACACTTCTCAAATAGCAGTGAAGAGGGAAGTCCTAGCCCCAGCACTCCAATGATCAGCAAATCTGGCCTTAAGTTTTCAGCTGACAAACCAGTAGTGGAGGTTCCTGGAATGACCATCTTGGACAAAAAAAGACGGGGAACAGGCTAAAGCCCTTTTTGAAAAGGTCCGCAAATTTCGTACTCACGTTGAAGACAGTGATTTAATATACAAACTCTATGCTGTACAAACAGTTGTCAAGACAGTGAAATTCATTTTCATACTGTGTTACACCTTAACATTTGTAACTGCAATAAGTTTTAAACACGTATGTAAACCCAGTGTTGAGCACCTTACAGGATACAAGGAGTTTGAATGCACACATAACATGGCATTTATGCTAAAGAAGCTTCTTATCAGCTATATTGCTCTTATTTGTGTCTATGGCCTTGTTTGTTTGTATACTTTGTTTTGGCTCTTTAGGAGACCTCTTAAAGAATACTCATTTGAGAAAGTGAGAGAGGAAAGCAGCTTTAGTGACATTCCTGATGTTAAAAATGATTTTGCATTTCTTTTACACATGGTTGACCAGTATGATCAGTTATATTCCAAGCGCTTCGGTGTTTTCTTGTCTGAGGTGAGTGAAAACAAACTGCGTCAGATTAGCTTAAACCATGAGTGGACCTTTGAGAAGCTTAAGCAGCACATTTCTCGCAATGCCCAAGATAAGCAGGAGTTGTATCTCTTCATGCTTTCTGGAATTCCAGATGCTGTGTTTGAGCTAACAGATCTTGAAGTTCTTAGGCTTGAGCTTATTCCAGAAGCTAAGATACCAGCCAAAATTTCTCAAATGACTGCTCTTCAAGAACTTCATCTCTGCCACTGCCCAGCTAAGGTCGAACAAACCGCATTTAGCTTTTTGCGAGACAACTTGAAGTGCCTTCATGTGAAATTTACAGACGTGGCTGAAATTCCTCCCTGGGTCTACTTGTTAAAAAATCTTCGAGAACTACACTTAGTAGGTAACTTAAACTCCGAAAATAACAAGATGATTGGACTTGATTCATTAAGGGAGTTGAGGCATCTGAAGCTTCTCTATGTAAAGAGCAATTTGACCAAAATACCATCCAATATCACAGATGTGGCACCACATCTAACAAAGCTTATCATTCATAATGATGGCACCAAGGTGGTTGTGTTAAACAGCCTTAAAAAGATGATGAATGTAGCAGAGCTAGAACTCAACAACTGTGAATTAGAGAGAATTCCACATGCTATTTTCAGTCTGACCAACTTGCAAGAGCTGGATCTAAAACTGAACAGCATTCGTACTATAGAAGAGGTCATCAGTTTTCAACACTTAAAAAGGCTGACTTGTTTGAAATTGTGGCACAACAAAATTGTCAGCATTCCACAGTCTATTTCACAAGTAAAGAACTTGGAATCTTTGTATTTGGCACACAACAAGCTAGAGTCCCTTCCAGTAGGCCTGTTCCTCTTGCAGAAACTTCGACACTTGGATGTCAGCAGCAATTGTATATCTATGGTTCCTATTGAAATTTGTAATCTCCAGAATCTTCAGCATTTGCACTTTGCAGGAAATAAAGTGGACATCTTGCCAAACACATTGTTCAAATGCATCAAATTAAGAACTTTATGCTTGGGTCAAAATTGTATCGCTTCTCTCCCAGAAAAGATAGGGAATTTAGTACAGCTTACACATCTAGAACTAAAAGGGAATTGCTTAGATCGCCTACCTTCCCAGATTATTCAGTGTCGTCTTCTCAAGAAAAGTGGGCTGGTCGTTGAAGATCACCTGTTTGATGCATTACCATCAGAGGTAAAAGAGGCATTGAACCAAGATACAAGTGGTCCTTTTGCCAATGGCATGTAGACAGTTTGGGCCAGTGTGCTGTATATAGAACAAAAAGGTTCGGGCAGGCCACTTCTTTTTTCAATAATAACTTTTTTTTTTTAATTTGACAGCCAAAAAAATACAAACCTTTTAGTGTACATATTACATGAGCACATACGAAGTAGAGGTATAAACAAGTGTACATAGAACCATAAAGATGGGAGAACAGAAGGAGAACCAGGATCCACACAAAGGACCGGGGAGTCAATACCTAAATATGAACACTTCAAACAGACCACATTTTTCCTCTCAAAAGTTGAGACTGGTAATTTTTTTTTCTTAGTAGCCCAACAACACTGCACCCCTCAAGACATGGTCATTGCAGTTTGTCTATTTACTAACAGTAATTGCTCATTATTGAAGGTATAATTAAATATTTAAATCGGTTTTTACCATTTGCAGATCTTATCGAAATGCTGCAGTTATTTTATTTTATTTTTTTTGTGATTGAAGGAATTCCTCTGGATGTTTACAGATAATCTGTTTTGTTCACGTTTGTAGATCAATTATATAGTAAATTTTGGTACTCTGTGTGTTTTTATTCTTCTTAACAAATGGATGGAGCAAACACAAAATAGTGTAAAACCAGTGTCACATTCATTACATTAAAAAAACAAACAAAAAAAACCTTGAAGGGTTTTATCCTCCAAAAGTGGTGTCTAATCCTACCTTTCTCTCCTTCCTATTGGCCTTATTCAATGCAATGTCCAGTAGGAAGGCACAAAGGGTGTAAGGAATGCTAGGTTATGCCTAGGAAGTAGAACTGTGCTCAGTTAGGTTTGGACATAATTCCAATCCCATCTGAGCTATCCCAGGAAGCTGCTGGGTAATTATAGCTGGCACAGACATTCCCCACCCTGCAACCATATATATTCATGCCCCTTGCCAGGGGCGTATTTACCACAAGGCATTTGCCTAGGTGGCATTTTTCAGGGGGGCAGCATCGACCCCTGGAAGAAGGGGCAGAAGAAGGGACACATGCGGCATGGAGACCAGGTGGGATCATAGAGATCATAAATTCGTTCCTAACCCCAGACACCACTAAACAACTCATTCACTCCCTTATTATCTCACGACTCGACTACTGCAACTCCCTCCTCACTGGCTTACCTCATCACAGACTATCCCCGCTTCAGTCTATCCTCAACTTAGCAGTTAGACTCATCCACCTTACCAACCGCTCCGTATCCGCCACCCCTCTCTGTCATTCCCTCCACTGGCTTCCAATTGCCCAACGCATAAAATTCAAACTACTAACATTGACGTACAAAGCTATTCATAATACTGCCCCAAAAACCTCACCGACCTGATATCTAAATACCACCCAACATGTACTCTTCGCTCCTCACAAGACTTCCTACTCTCTAGCTCCCTAGTCTCCTCCTCCCATGCCCGACTCCAGGACTTCTCCAGGACTTCCCCCATCCTCTGGAACTCACTACCCCAATCCATCAGACTGTCACCTACCCTCCTCACCTTCACCCTGAAAACCCATCTCTTCAGGGAAGCTTACCCCGCCCTAACCTAACAGCCGATCTCCTCCACTCCATCCCCCACAGCCACTTTCTCCTGTACCACTACCCTCTCCCTCCTAGATTGTAAACTCCAAAGAGCAGGGCCCTCGAACCCCTCGTGTATTGTATTGTCACTGTATTGTCTCATGTACTGTCCCCCACTATAATGTACAGCACTGAGCAAACTTTTTGGTGCTATATAAATACTGTATAATAATAATAATAGAGAAGCTGCGGCCTGCTTGACGGTGTATGCAGAGCTCGACTCTCATTCCTGGGGATGTCTAGAGCTGTGAAGGTCTCTCGCTGATGGGGGGGGGGATGATATCGGAAAGGCTTTCTCTGGTGAGGGGGTAGGGTGGGCTGGGCAGGGGTGTTGTTGGTCAATCTCAAGCTCTCTCTCTGTGGGGGGTGTTATTGGTTGGTGTCAGGTTATCTCAGTAGGGTCAGTAGGGGGCCCCATGAGATGCCCCTGGTACCTTTTTCATAGGCTTTTTTGAGTTTGGGCAAGGACACAGGGGTCCCATGATCCCCTGTCCCAGGGGCCCCATGAGCTAAGAGAAGGTTTGTGCTGGTGATGAGGATCTATTCATGTATACCTAGTGCTTTACCCTGCATGAAAAGAGCAGGTATTTGCTTTAAAAGTAAACTTTAGGCAGATGTAAAAAAGATCCTTATGGTTATGTTTTCATTGAAAAAATCTCCATCTCCACTTCCAGTCCCCATGTTTTAGTGAACTTTAAATTGTTTGGTCTAAACTATTACCTTCACTAACAGATACAGCGGCTGGGAGTGCAGTATAAACAGTATGTAGCCTCAGCTAAATTCAGTATACAGTGCTGTGTTCTGGCAGAGGGACAGACATTTCCCATTCTGTGCCTGGAACAAAATCAAGTCGGGCTGAGTGCTGCTATCTATTCATGCTATCTATGAATTGATACAAAGCTTTCTCTGATTGTCTGAGGTGGAGATTGTGACATCATCCACCCCCTCTCCTCCTAAGCCAATCAGAGGTAGCTTTGTATTCATTCATGGAATACAAATCTTCCAGTGAATGGATGACTAGCATTTTGCCCAACCTGATTTTGTTCCAGAAGCAGATGAGAAAACAGCACTGTATACTGTATGTAGTGGAGGCTACAAGCAGTTAATACAGGGCACACAGAAGCTGCATCTGTTAGTAAAGTAAATAGTTTTCTTGGACCAGCTTGATCTATTCAAACACTAAAACCTGGAGATCAGCTTTAAACTACACTATATTGCCAAAAGTATTATGACGCCTGCCTTTACACGCACATGAACTTTAATGGCAACCCAATCTTAGTCTGTAGGGTTCAATATTGAGTTGGCCCACCCTCTGCAGCTATAACAGTTTCAACTCTTCTGGGGAAGGCTGTCCACAAGGTTTAGGAGTGTGTCTATAGGAATGTTTGACCATTCTTCCAGAAGCGCATTTGTGAGGTCAGGCACTGATGTCGGACAAGAGAAGGCCTGGCTTACAGTCTCTGCTCTAATTCATCCCAAAGATGTTCTGTCAGGTTGAGGTCAGAACTCTGTGCAGGTCAAGTCAAGTTCCTCCACTCCAAACTCGCTCATCCATGTCTTTATGGACCTTGCTTTGTGCACTGGTGCACAGTCATGTTGGAACAGGAAGGGGCTATCTCCAAACTGTTCCCACAAAGTTGGGAACATGAAATTGTTGAAAATGTCTTGGTATGCTAACGCCTTAAGAGTTCCGTTTCCTGGAACTAAGGGGCCAAGCTCAACCCCTGAAAAACAACCCCACACCATAATCCCCCCTCCACCAAACTTTACATTTGGCACAATGCAGTCAGACAAGTACCATTCTCCTGGCAACCACCAAACCCAGACACATCCATCGGATTGCCAGACAGAGAATCGTGATTTGTCATTCCAGAGAACATGTCTCCAGTGCTCTAGAGTCCAGTGGCAGCATGCTTTACACCACTGCATCTGACGCTTTGCATTGCACTTGGTGATGTAAGGCTTGGATGCAGCTGCTTCCATGAAGCTCTATACGCACTGTCGTAGTGCTAATCTGAAGGCCACATGAAGTTTTAAGGTCTTTAGCAATTGACTCTGCAGACAGTTGACAACTTCTGCGCACTCAATGGTGGAGAAGGATCTGGGAGTTCTGGTAGATCACAAGCTTAATAATGGCATGCAATGCCAAGCTGCGGTTTCTAAAGCGAGCAAAATCCTCTCTTGTATTAAAAGAGGTATAGACTCCAGAGAGAGAGATATCATATTACCCCTGTACAAATCATTAGTAATACCTCATCTGGAATATGCAGTTCAATTTTGGGCACCAATTCACAAAAAAGAACATTGGGGAACTGGAGAAAGTAAGGAAAAGGGCAACCAAACTGATAAGAGGCATGGAGGACCTCAGCTATGAGGAAAGATTAGAGGAACTGAATTATATTCTCTCTTGAGAAGAGGAGATTAAGGGGGGATATGATCAACATGTATAAATACATCAGTGGTTCATATAGTGAACTCGGTGTAGAGTTATTCACCCTGAGGTCATCACAGAGGATAAAGGGGCACTCTTTATGTCTGGAGGAAAATGTATTTTTTTTATCCCCAAACAAGGAAAAGTTTATTCACAGTAAGAGATGTGAAAATGTGGAATAGAACCCCTCAAGAGTTGGTTCTGGCCAACTCAGTGGATTGCTTTAAAAAGGCCTGGATTCTTTCTTAGATACACAGAATATAACTGGATACTAACATTTATAGGTAAAGTTGATCCAGGGAATATCCGATTGCCTCTCGTACCCCTGTACAAATCATTAGTAATACCTCATCTGGAATATGCAGTTCAATTTTGGGCACCAATTCACAAAAAGAACATTGGGGAACTGGAGAAAGTAAGGAAAAGGGCAACCAAACTGATAAGAGGCATGGAGGACCTCAGCTATGAGGAAAGATTAGAGGAACTGAATTTATTCTCTCTTGAGAAGAGGAGATTAAGGGGGGATATGATCAACATGTATAAATACATCAGTGGTTCATATAGTGAACTCGGTGTAGAGTTATTATTCACCCTGAGGTCATCACAGAGGATAAAGGGGCACTCTTTATGTCTGGAGGAAAATGTATTTTTTTTTATCCCCAAACAAGGAAAAGTTTATTCACAGTAAGAGATGTGAAAATGTGGAATAGAACCCCTCAAGAGTTGGTTCTGGCCAACTCAGTGGATTGCTTTAAAAAGGCCTGGATTCTTTCTTAGATACACAGAATATAACTGGATACTAACATTTATAGGTAAAGTTGATCCAGGGAATATCCGATTGCCTCTCGGGGGATCAGGAAGGAATTGTTTCCCCTGCAGGAGCAAATTGGATCATGCTTTGCTGGGTTGTTTGCCTTCCTCTGGATCAACGGTGGGTGTAGGATTATAACTTTTTTTTTTTTTTATTCAATGGATGAAGTGGATGGACT